ATATATATATACATATATATATATATATATATTTGTTTCTTTTTCGTTTGCGAATTGGTTCGTAGAATTGCGCCTAATATTAGCTTTCGATCTCTGTCAGTTTTTTTTTACAGATTTGCCTCGCTCGGTAAAATTGAATTATTCCGCGATCAAATTGCGCAAATACGTTCTCATACGCCTTTTTTGATCTTCATTTCCTTTCTTTTCCATTTGTGTGCTCGTCTCCTTTTGGAAAAGACATTCGACGTTTATACGAGGTTTGCACGAGAGAAATCGCCGCACAGTCCCAAAGAGATAAGAATTAAGACAATCGATAAGAATGGTCGCGATCTGTTAAAATATATTGCAAATAACGCATGGTCAATTCCTTTCTTTTGCTCGCGCGTCTCTCTTTCTTCCACTTCGTTCTCGTTTCGTTTAACGCCCTCTGTCGTGTTGTACTACAAATAAAACTGAGAGAAAAGAAAGAAAAAAGCGGGCAGGTGGAAAAATAACGGAAGGAATCCTAACCAGATCTCCGTTCTCGACAACTCGATTTGATTCAAGTCGACCCAACTCGAACTTCGATTTCGACGCAAATCGTATTTCGCTCGATCGATACGAACAAATGTGTGTATACGCGGACGTGTGTATGCATGTATATATGTATGTATATCTCCATTTCCTAATTTGTTATTAATCGGCGTTACATTTAGTTAAAGCATCAGTAGTGTGTCGTTAAGGAACATGAAAGAGTTTAGCACGCAGTCTGTCAAAATCGAAATAAATTACACACGGATCGTCATTCTTGTTGCGGTTCTGTAAAAGTACGGGGTTCGATCTCTTATAAAATACAGCAGATATGTACACATATGTATATATGTATGTAAAAAAAATCTTAAAATTCCGCGAGAAAGAGAGAGTGACGACGCTAGATTTGGGACTGTCCGGATAACGATTGCCGCTTATACCGTTTCTGATGCGTTATATATATATACACATATACAAGGTGAGCCAGAAATCTGGATACAGTCGAATATTTCATAAACAAAGCGATTTTGAAGAAAATGTTTTAAATAAAAGTTATAGGGCTTAAAAAGATCTATTTACTGATCTTATCAGTTTGGCCTTGGGTGGAGGCGTCAAAGTCAAATGCAAGTTAATTTCATTTTTCCTAATGGAACCATATAGTTTTCTTGACACAAATCAATGCCTCTATTTATTCAAGGTCAAACTGACGAGATCAGTAAATAGATCTTTTTAAACTCTACAACTTTTATCTAAGACATTTTTTTCAAAATTGCATTCTTTATGAGATATTCGACCGTATCCGAACTTTCGGCCCGTCCCGTATATATATACAAATAAATTCACTGGCTGCCAGGATCGTCGGCTGTCAGAGGAGTTGGGGGAGGGGGTAGGTGGGGGATTTCTTCTCTAGAAATGGATCGATACAATTGCAGTAATTACAGTGGTCTCTTATCACAGAACATGTATGGCATTAATTGTCATCGTTAATTAATGTAAACGGTACAAGGTATTCCGCATTTAAAACTCGGTTCTCTCTCGGTAAAGCTAAAGGTCGCACGCGGAGGATCAGGAAGCCAGTACGGTACTAAACGATTATTGTTTTCGTCCTTTTTTTTTCTTTCACTTCTGTTTCACACCTCTTTACGGTTGCCCATAATTTCAGTTCATTCGACCGCAATACGTTGTACGCTCACAATTATCATCTTCGATAATCGTTAACCACGCGAAAAGGTAAAAAAACAGAAAAGAAAAACGATTACAAATATTATTTCGCGCCTCTCTCTATATAATTGACTATAACGTTTATTTTATACAATTCTCAATTCTTCGTCATTGTTTCTCGATCGTTTTCGGTTTAGTTCGGTCCGCTCAACAACGACTGTGCGGAACGTAAAAACAGCGAATGACTCAATTCGTTAGGGGTGATAAAAAAAGGGGGGACAGAGAAATGTACGAAGAATGTTCGACCGCGACAACACCAACGAACGTGTATCCGATAAATTATGGACAACCCTAAATTTAATAAGTGTAATTCATTAATAATAATCAATAATAATCAGTTGCGCTATCACTTCGTATGCGATGTAGAAAACACAAGACAAACCTGTGCCTACCAAATGGGGGAAAAGGTGGAAGCGAGAGGAGGAGGAGGAGAGCGAGAGGTTCGTCGTCGCGAAAGACGCGGAGAGGAGAGCGTGAGAGAGAAGGCAAGGAGGGAGGGGGAGAATTCTTATCTTCCACAGACAAAAATGTACAAAAATCGGGGCACAGATTACGTAGCGTTAATTAGTAATCGTAATAATAATAATATAATAATAATAATAATCGTACATGTTTCAGAGAGAGATCATTAAAAAAAAGAACACTAACTAACTAGAATAATTTCTCCGTCTTGGAAGAGTCTGACGCGCGCTAAGAACTAAGGAAAAAAAAAGATCACTATGTATCTCGATAAAAACCAACAACAAGTTGCGTGTCCGACTTCCTTCGCGACCGCTACACAGCGGACGCCATCTCCGTCGTCCATGTTTGACACCATTTTCGGTTCTTCTTCTCGCTGACAAAGGAACAAAATCCGTTTGAATTCGTCTTCGACGGTCTATCACAACTTCCTTCCTCGTACAATATATCATTTCTTCGTTTTCTTTCTTTTTTTTCTTGTGACAATCGTGGCGAGTCGAAGAGTTTCTTCCTCGCCTTCTTGGTCCTCTCTCTCTCTCTCTCTCTCTCCGCTCCTCTTCCCCTCTCCAGCGGTACTCCGTCCCGTGGGACCTCCGTGCGCTTTCGGTGGAACTCGTTCGTTCGTTCGTTCGACGAAAACGTAAACAAAAGCGAATCCATGAAGTGGCGGATTCCCGATGACACATGCCAACGTGTATCACCGAGAGTGGGGGGATGGTTAGATACATCAGCGTCGGTATTGGTACTGAAGAAGAACGTCGCGCGTCTCGTTTCCACGGTAGTGGCATCGGTGTGCTTGCGGATTCAACGACAGGCCTTTGTGTGTGTGTGTGTGTGTGTGGTGTGTGTGTGTGTGTGGTGCGCGCGCGCATACAAATATTTCCAGGCGTTTCGTCATTTCTCCCACTTGACGCGAGAGGAGACGGGAGATGAGACGAGCCACGTCACACGCAGAGTTCTCTTCACTACCGACACTTACTTGAACACAAGACAATCTGACACAGGAACGCTTTTTCAAATTCGTCTTCGACCGACCGGACAGACGGACGGACGGACGGGCGGGCGGACGGATGGATGGATGGATGGATGGATGGCTGACTTGCCCTCACTTCCTCCTCCTCCTCCTCCTCTCCTCCTCCTTCCTTTCCTCCCTTTCCTCTTCCCGTCGATCTCTGACTCATTTCAACCAAGGCTCAAGTTGACAACAGTCGCTATTTCGCATCGCGTCGGTTCGACGTCCCGATTCGGACCAGAGGGTGGCGCACTAGGAAACATTTATTTCTTTAGCACTACTATATTCGTATATCTCACTGTACACAAAGAGTCAAGAGGGATGTAGAAGTGGCGGCGGCGATACGGAGGTCGTGCCCGGGATCAGCGGTGACTGTTTTCAGCTCTGCTTTACCCGTTTCCTGGGCGGTCCGATCGGCGGGATCTGCTGGGTCGCCAGCGCCCGAAAGGCCTCCGCTATTAAATGCGGATGGGAGTGTACCATCGCCTTGAAACCCGTCGTGTCCATCACATCCGTGGCGTGTCTGTAAGGCAGAGTCGGTCGGATTAGATCGAAACGGCGGCGGCGGAGGTCGCGCGAAGAATTGTTTTTGTTGCTCGTCAAACCGATGCAAGCCGGTACAGCTGGGCGATACATATATGTCTCGCATGGCTTTTTCTTCTCGGAAACTTACGTATTAATAAAGTCTATCGCTTGCGCCTTGAGTTGATCGGCGCTATGAAGATCGGCAAGTATGAGGATATCGGCGGCATTGTCGATGGCTAAACTCGTACAGAGCGCCTCCTCGCACATCACCTTCAGCCTCTCTAACGCGTACTTGTCCGCGGCGGCCAGCAAATCGTCCGCCATCTTCTCCAGATTCGCTGCTTTACCGGTATATATAAATCGCAACATTTCTCTCAACACTTCGTGATCCACATCGGTTATATCCACACGATTCTGCTTTCTCTCTTCCATCTCGTGTTCGAACATTGCCGAGAAGACAGGACTCCGTGCTGCGCAAACACACGAGACGAAAATGTGATAGGATTCGCTGGATTCAAGATACGGGAGCCAGGTGAGACAATATGTGTGTGTATAATACTTCTTAATCTTTTCTTTTTTATACTCATATATCTCACCTGCGAGAATTGCTTTGTGCGCCTGGAACTCCCTACCGCATACAGTGAGCGTGACATCGCTAAATTTTTGGTTCTCGAAGAGCTGCCCGAGATCGTCAGGCAGCCGGCATTCCGGCACCTTGAACTGTATCGTGTTACTCTGCCCGGAAATATTGACACTATCCGCCACTACGCTGACCTGCGGGCGAACGCAACGAGGACACGTCGTTGTTAGAGATTAGATGCATCCTGGACAGCAAGAGAGGTAGCATAGGTACAATTAACATACAAACGTATATACCTCACAGAATATCGTGAGTTTGTCGTCCGGCAGAAGTCCATTGGCCTCGTCCAGAAGAAAGTCTCTCCTGATGAACTTCTTGAAGCCCCAATCTTTACCCTGAACGAACCTATAAGCGCGCTGGCTCTCTGGAAGAAAAAAATAAATAAATAAAACGGACATCTAAATATCGTGAGCTTGTGTGTGGTAATTCTGGGATACCCTGTACACAGATATTTTACAGAACAGAGGCGGTCATTGAAATGTTGAACGTTAGATAAGCGCTGGCCTTATTACACTGACCTTTTCGTAATTCGGCATGTATATCTTTTCTTTTTGTGTGTAAATCTTACGTAAATGTGTGAGTGCGATGTTGCTGATTACTCGCAAAGTCTATATAAAATACGCTTTCTGATACGTTCCGCTGATCTGCCGGTAAACTGCTGACATTTTGCTTACTGAGAAAATAAGTAGAAAGTACAGAGTAAAACTTCTTTCTGCGTACGAGAGCCTTTCTATTTCCTAGAAAATCAGCGTTACTCGAAATGTAATGTGACTGCAAAGTCAGGCTTACGAGGAACCATATAGAAGAACTCATTATTGCTGATTCGGATGGATATGCTAGAGAGAGAGAAAAGTGTAGTCATGTCAGCGCTTATCGAATATATTTACAATAATGATGTGAATATTTTCTATCGGGTTCTAGATAGATCCGCTATGCAAGCGCATGGAAAAAAAGAGTATACTATTGAGAAGAAAACATAAAGGGTGAAAAAAGCTACGGAAATTTTGCATCAGGCAGAAATGTCGACGCTATAACCCCGACTTACCCATTGCTTTGGTTTCTTCTCTTTTGGCATTAAGAATAGAAAATTTGAACTTTGCTCTGACTTCAGATTTGTTGCACGATACAAGAAGGAGATATAGTGATAAGTAGTCTTTGCTCTCTTCGTCCAGGCCCTTAGGATTCACTCTCAGGCACCTGGAACCAATCACCATCAATTCGTGAACACGTCCTCCTGCGCGCCTCTCACTCCGCGTCTCGTTTCTCCCCTTTTTTGCCCCTTCATCCTCTCCCGAATTCCCGCGTGATCGCGCCGCTATGAAATTTTGCTGTAACCGCGAATTTATTTGTCTCCTCGTCTCGCGAATCGATCGGCCGCGACATACTTCGGACATATTTCACGACGACGCGAAAGATAACATGGGAAAATGACAAGTTCGCAAGAGAGAGAGAGAGAGAGAGAGAGAGAGAGAGAGAGAGAGAGAGAGAGAGAGAGAGAGAGACGAAGAGATCGCCATCGACGACTTGAAATCTTACCATTTTAACTTGTCGTTGGCACCTGCTGAGAACGTAGACGACTTAAGCACTTCTCCCATCTCTTCACGGCAAAAGCTGAAGTTATTTATCGTCCACATGTAGCTGAACTTAACCACCTTCACCTGTGCACATAAGACCTTCAAATGCGACACCACGTCAGAGTCTATCCCGAGTGGAAACTACTAGCTTAATCTAGCTACATACACGCTAAAAAGGCTACGTAAATATCCCACTATTAACGCAAATTTCCGTCCTGCTTTATTACGGCCGTGCGTGTGTATGTACACATGCACGCATAGGCGTCATTACACCAAACTTTTTCTCCGTACCGAATTCCTGGTTGTTGAGAACCGAAAATTTGTGCATCACAAAGATCAAACGTTTAATTTCCTACAACCAAAACGTGTTTGGTTTGTTTTATATTAATTCAATCGATCTTTTTTCTTTATTAAATTTAAGTTTGTACTAGAGTTACTGGACATTAAATGTAAAAGCATCGAATTAATTAATACATTTCAATGTCGAGTCCATGAAAAAGCTCGCTCGCGCATAACAGGGCTACAGAAGTTCTTTCGACTCCGCGGCCGACTAACCGACCTTGAAGAAGCGCGAGAGCGAAGTACCACGAGTACATCAGCGGCATGTGGTAACACACACACACATACACGCGCCCGACGTAGGAAAAGGGGGAGTGGGAGGAGATACATTCAGGGTCGAGAATCGAACATCGGTCCGCTTACGCAATTCTCTCAAAGAACCTCGCGCGCGCACCAGTCGAGAGCTTTAACGGTGTATGCGGAGGTGCGACTTTTATGTCACTTCGAAGGACGCGATAACGGCGGCGGCGATTTTTATCTCCATCCTTTGTGTGTCTTAACCCGAGAATAGCCATTTTTTTTTAACGTAAACGATCACCTGGGTCATTTAGATCCCAATTAAAAAAACCGCTATTATTAACAAAATATTGTATATTACCAAAAAAAAAACAGATAAAATTACAGATTTTTAATATATATTTTTTTATGTTTAACATTAAATAAAAACTATAGTTTAACATATTCATTTCATTTGAAATAAATATTAATATTAGCTACATATGTTAATTATAAACAATAAATATAAATATTAGATATTTAATAATGCCTATTTCTTTGGACATTTTTATCGGTCAGTATAGATGTAATATAAATATTGCTTAATGTTAACCAGGTGTATGGGAAAACAACTTCATTCAAACTTGTTATCATCTCGCCTTCACAATACGAACTCTGGCTAATTTTAAACGCAAACGATCGCCTGGGATCGTTTTGTGCACGAACGCATTTTTACAAGCTTATACTATGAATAAGAGGGGTCACAACATTCCTATTGCGCAGGTTAGGTCTCTGAATGTCCAAATGAATCTTGAAAGGTACATATTGGTTCTCGACCAGTAAGAAAAAAATCCACCGCGACGTGAGCTTCATCTTCTGACCGCTGGAGTATGAAATGACCCCAGGTGACTATTCCCGGGTTAACGGTTTTGAAGGCGTATGACACCGTTCTACGGTCCGACCGGCCGGCTGGTTGAGTCCGGCATTAATATGTATTAAGATCGCGGCAGACGCATCGTTCGGCGACATCGATCGGGTTTTCATCTTCATCACGGGATCCCCGCGATTGGAGAAATGAGCGGGGGAGGAGAGGAATCTTTCGCGCGCTCATGGGAGTGTCGGAGCTCCGATTCGGAGACCACGATGGGTCTTCTTCGTCGCCGGTTATAACGGCTCGAGAACGCGATAAAATTTCCGACCTGCTAATCTAAACGAGCGATGTGACGATAAAAACGGGAGATAGCGGAGGAAGAGAGGAGCAAGGTCGAGCACCCGGAGGAGTCAACGATCTCTGACGTCAGCGTCGTGTTGTCCGTGCGCGACCTTGGCGAACGAACGGGCGAATAAACGGGCGAGCGTAGCCCGCGGTCAAATCTATTTGTCTAGTGTGCTCGCTCGCTCGCGACGCTGAAGCACGCATCGCGTGGGAACACCTCTCGGCGTTATCGGCCACTCGGCGGCGCTTTTGCGGAAGCGAGCGCGGAACGAGCTCTCGGACTCTGCCAGTGTTTGCCTTAGATGAGATGATTTTGCTTTTAATGCATCTAGATGAAAGATAAGTAGCGCTATTTATTTAGATAATTTTTTTGGATGATATTGTTTTCACGACTTTATAGAAATTTATAATAAAAATTACGCAGGTCATAAAATTGCACGACGGTTGAGAGTAATTCGTCAACGTAATCGTGAGCTTCGTTTTCCGATCGCTAGGATATGAAACGATCTCAGGTGACTGGGAGGGATACGGGAGGTGAAGAGTTCACTGTCTCTACGGGCGAAGCGGAAGATGCCGGTACCACGTGTATGGTTTCAAGGTTCTGCCTGAATAGGGAGAAATATATATTCCGGGGAATCTTGAAGCATACTGTCACGTACGCGCGCACGCACACCCGCGTGCATTCGATCACAATGAAGACGCATAGGGGACGAGGGGTCGCAAGAGAGTCACGCTTTTCGAATTGTTGGTCTATTATCCGTAGCAAAGGGACGATGATACAAAGGAAAGCGTGAGAAACGTCCACGAGGTACACGCTGTATCTCCGTGCCTGACAGTCAGAGTGAAAGTTCTCTCTCTCTCTCTCTCTTTCTCTCGCTTGCGCGCTCTCCCTCGCTGTCTTCGGTCGCTGCCTTACAATCGTAAACGCGATACAATTGCTCCGAGTTTCCCTTAACCCTTCGAAGTTACCTCGAGACCGCCTGCGATTCGCCAGGTACTTTCTCTAATACTCGGAACAGTGAACAATCCGAGAGAATACAAATGCCGTTTTCGTCGGATCTATACAGGTAGAAATTTCGTGCAGTTTTTCAATAGTTAACGAACAGTTATATTAATTTCTGCCTAATAAAACTGACGAATGAAACTGTTGGGATCCTGATCGAGATTAGTAAAGTTTTGTTCGCAGCTATCGGACACAAATGATACGCAAAATCGGAACTCATTTACTGACCGAAAAGTGAGCAATAATTGGACAATCATAAAAAAGAATAGCGAGAACGGAAATTTCAGATTTTATTACAAAGTGGAAGTTAATTATACACTGAGAACAATTTTTTGGTATTCGTAATTATAATCATGCACGAAACGTGAATGATTATAGTCGGGAGAACCATTGTTCTAACAAGCGTTAGTATAGCATTAGTGATCATTTTATATCACTGTTTCTACACGTATTTCTACAACACTTGTCATGTTCAAGTAAATATTCATTAAAAAATATATGATAAAATCTGAAATTTCCGTTCCCCCCATTTTTTTAGCACCAAAATAGGTTCTTTTGAATAGTCATAGGAGAAAAGATAGTATTATATGAACCTTGTTGGTTACTTAATAGCCACACTTGATATCTCCGCTATTAGGCGGCGAATTCTACTGATTATTTGCGGAATCATTTGTTTGGTAGCCCGTTGTTACGCAGTAGCACTGATATGCCAATACATGACAGCCAGCATTGTTATAACATACTTTTACTTCTGATCATTTTGAAACATTTGCAAACGTACATTTGAGCACTTAATTATGTAAGAGTGGATTCTAGAAACGCGAATTAGAAATTGAAACGTTAGAATTTTGAATTTCGCTTCAATATTATCCGGCGGATGCGCACTTTAAAACAGTCGAGGAGGCCCGAAAGAGCATCGATGACTTTATCGAATCAAAACCGTCAAGTTTCTCTCGCGAGGGCATTCATTCATCAGCTGCCCGATAAACGGAGCGAAATCATAGAAAATTATGGGAATTATTTCAAACATTCAACTTGTATTTGACAACTTGTTTTTGTAAATAAACAGTGAATTTCATGAGAAAAGGCGCCGAATTAATTCGTACACCTGACATTTCGGGAATCTCGGTGAATTTTTATCCTCAGGAATTCTCTGCGAGCGAACACGCGCGCGAGCAAGTAGCGAGATGATTGTTATCGCCGGGATAATTAATGGGCGACCTTAACGGGTGTCCTCGTTGAAACGATGACGAAACGCCCTGGGGGCGCGTACGTAACATCGAGAAGATCCCTTGTCCGTGCCTCCGACAGAGTCGGGGTTTCCCGGGTATCCCAGCGGGGGGATCACACGCGTTACTCACGATCGCCGGAGATCGGGTTCGACAATCTTCACCTCGACGTGGCCTTCACGCATCGGAAGCTTAAAATCGACATTCGCGCACCGAGAAACAGGAAGGTGCTGTCGACTTTTATCTCGTCTTCGCCAAAGAGTTCAATACACTGTACACACCACGTGTACCACTACCAACAGACCGAAAATTCGCTTCTTCCTTCGCAGAGAAGCGCGAATCCGCTCGAGACGCGGATATATCCGCGTGCGTCTTATTTTCATAGACAACGATCGACAAATATCGATGAGGCCGAGAATAAAAATATATTTATTCAATAGATACTAATAACATATTTATTTAAATCTCTCTCTCTCTCTCTCTCTCTCTCTCTCTCTCTCTCTCTCTCTCTCCCTCAATTTTTTATCTAATAAACAATTGCTTTTATGAAAAATTACAGATTTGAGAAAACGTATATCCTGTCATTTAAAAAGAATCTCTCAGTATAAAAATGTGTATAATAATATAAATAAATATATGTTAATAGTATCCAGCGAATAAATATCTTTTCCTAGATATTATTTCTCTCAGTGATAATAGCGTTATCTTACATTTAACTATGCTATTACTATACTTTATGTTAAAATCGGCAGGAGATGCGGCTGGTGCCGAAAATGACTGTAACTGTAACGAAATTTCTCCCGGCGAAGAAGAGACACACGCGCGAATCGTCGTCCTCGCGGGTTAATATAAATATTTGATTCAAGCCCCCCGCCCGCTCTCCTCGAACGATATTCCGAATACAAATCGATAGACGCGCTTCGCCGGTCAGAATTCAGAGATTATTAAATTCCAGCGGAAACAGGAAAGGTTAGCATCGGAGTTCTCGGGGAAACCATCGACGACTCTGCTCAAGGTGATCGAAGGAGAAATTCCTGGCACCGCCGAATGAAATTTGCACAAAGCAGAATAATTCCGCGCGGCGAGATGGAACATCCCCTCTTTCTCCCTCTATCCGGGTATCTCCGCGTATCGCGAGCGAAAATGACGTAAGCTAAAGAGCTAGGAGGGAGGAAGGGAGATAAGGAAGAGAGGAGGGTCAGAGCACTTTGAGCCAGCATACTAGAAGAGCAATAGCTCCAATCTGAATGATGTTGCGGAATCATGTTCGAGATATGCGTGCGACAAGGACAGATGTCTACACGGAAAAAATTAAGTATCACTTCAAGACTTATATATTCTAATAGACGGTATCATTGTGTCATACATAAACAAGAATAAGTTATCTTCTTACAAAGTTATTATCGAATAACGAGTATATATTTTTTGTGGGACTATATATGAAAGTTTTATCTACCCAACACTATATGATCTTATTTCAATATATACATGTCGAGAATACAGATCTTCTCGAAATAAGAATATTCTTTTTTTCTTTTTTGTGTGTAGTCAGCATCCTTAAATATATCCGGCTATCTATCCTTCGCATCTATCTGAAAGATAACAATCTCCCTTCGCCCCGAACGATTTGCGGTTCGATACCCCGCGAGAAGCGGGTCGCCCACGAGATTGCGCCGTTCTCGACCGAATATCGATTGCCGACTCGAGCTCCTCCGCGACGACGTTTCGCGAGCGTATCGACCAAACTGAGCGAGACAGAGGTGGACAGACAAACGGAACGAGGGAGCACCTCGCGCACACTCTCACCAGCAATGACGCCAGGCCATGGACCTAAGAATCTAGGGACGGAGTATAAAGTGAACTTCCGGGCAAGGGGGTTGGCTAATTTGCGGTAAAGGGAGTGAGAGCGCTCTCCTTTTTATTCGCTGATCGTCTCTTTCTACAATAAGACACCGTCGGCTTTGCAACGGATGCAACCGAAGATATCCAAAGTTTGTCTCTAGTCCCAAGTTTGATACGGGCTTAACGTGTAGGTCCGTATTATTTCATTCATTTCATCGAAAAGTGAGTTCAGCATATGGACCACATCATTTCAGATAATTTTTAGGCGAAATAACATGTTTTTTTATATCTAAGATGGAGATGAATGTATTTCTTCCATCTAGGTAAAGATGACCTATTTATGCATCTGGATGATTATTTACATAATTTCACCTAGACACCGGCAAACACTAAGAAAGAGACAGCACTACACCCCCCCCCCCCTTAACTCGGATACAGTTNCCCCCCCTTTAACTCGGATACAGTTCCATGCGCCAGAGGAAAAGCGTGTCTCCCGACGTGCGCGCATCATCCGAAGAGGTCGAAGGGTTCACCGGTGCCGGTGGTTTCCGCGTTAACGGCCGGCCGACGCTGACCGCCGCCAGGTGGAGCGACGACAAAGAGGAGGAAGAAGAGGGAGGAAACGCAGCGGCCGCCGGTCGACGCCCCTACGAGTCGTTCAACCCGCCAGAGGCGGCGGCGGTGGTGGTCGTCGTGTTGGCGATCGGCCTTGAATCAATCGTGCCCGTTTACGGGAGCACACGCTGCTCGCGCACCAGGTTCAAGCACCAGAGCAGAAGTCGGTGGCCGGGCCTTCCGGTGGAAGTCGACCTCCTCTCCTGGACACGCTGCTGCGCGAGCAGTTAGCTAGCTGGCTGGCCAGGCTGGGCCGGTTGGCTGGAGGCCTCCGGGAAGCAGCTCGCCGAGGTAAACGATCGCGCGCGCGAATCGCGGGGTCGAAGATGAACGACCGCGAGTGCGAGCGAACGAGAGAGAGAGGACGTCCTACGAAAATATCCTCATCGCGAAAGAGCCACGATAACATGAGCATCGGAACGCGCCTCGCCTCCTCGTCCTTCCTGTCTGTCTGCTTGTCTGCCCGCCTGCCTGCCTGCCACGCAAATTATACAAGGTGTCATCGTGTCTGATGACAACGTGCTCGCTCACGGCTGAGACGAATAGCCTTGGAAATAAGGGGGAATGGAAGAGAGGGAGACATCGAGTCGAAGTGTTCTTCGTCTATCTCGCGTGCTGAAGAAGCAAGTGGATCGTATCGTGCGTTACGGACGTCGAGGAAAGTGAAGGATGGAAGAGTTATATCGCCTTCCTCTCTCTCTCTCTCTCCACGCTCGAGAAATTTACCGAAATTGAGTTCGTGTTCTCGCGACAAGGCGAGAGCGTTTTGTGTGAAGTATCGACGTGCGAGTATCACGTCGGTCCGCATCACACGCTTTTCCACAGGGAAGGGAAAACGAGGAAAACCACGGAGGGAATTTCGAAACGCGGAGGAGAAATCGAGTTTTTCGATCGGCCAATAACGCCGGGTCGAGAGAGAGAGAGAGAGAGGGAGACAGATAGATAGATAGATAGATAGATAGATAGAGAGAGAGAGAGAGAGGGGGGGGGGAGACAGAGCAAACGAGTCGCGCGCGCTCTTGTCGTTCTCTTTATCGAGGTGACCGATAAATCGCCGCGACTGCATGTCGCCACAGCGGACTGCAACGGCAGCAATAACAGCGGGGTAGCGCGACAGCTGTGATGTCGCGAACTGCAGGCTCCGCTGACGCGGCGAAATCGGTAGTATCGCCGCATTACGAAAGTTAACTGGAGCACAAATTGACTTTCGATTTATATAGGCGAGCCCGAATAGCGTAACGTGTGTTTCTCCGCCGCCGCGTTTCATCAATTCGAGAACGTTGCCGCGCGCGCGAGGTAATGTAAAGGTTCGTCTATCAGGTGTACAAAGTAAGGCACCGAATTAATCTGTATACCTAATACATTAGACGTAGAACGTATGCGATGTATGTTACATTCGATAAGCGTACAACTTTACTGAAATAGCAATATACCGTCATTGGACATCATGCGTTCTGCGTCCTGCGTTTTATGTAGAACGGGCTTTAAACTCAGCCACGTTCGCTTGCGCAACGCGACGCGAAAGCGAACGTAATACGAATGTTCGCATTCTGCCACTGTTGAAATTAGAAACGGACCGTCGTACATTTCGCTTGTAACCACCGTGTACAAAAAAAAAAAGACAGAAAACGAACATCCTTCGTGTTGATTGCTGGATCGATTTTATATCCTCCTTCTATTCTTTTTATTACTTATTCAAAGAGAAAAAAACATTTTTGTTGGATTTATGTGACAACGTACATAGGAATACTTAAAAAATGATCCTCCTGGCGGTAATTCTTTCATCGCCGTGATGATTAACATTTACAAATACCAAATATTTTTTCTCAGCGTAAAAGAATATTCCAATGATAAGATTGTATTTTACTGGATTCACTGGTTAAAATACAATCTTTTCTGCCGTTAAGTTCCCCGACTTCCGCCCGACTAACGTGCAGTGACGGGTGGGCGCACGCGTGCACACCACTACAAACACACGTTGTTGCGCGGCGCAGGTAAATAGTTTCGTAATATTGGAGATACTTGAGCTCTGGTATAATGTTTGAGTTTTCATTTAAGACCTCGTACAAGTTTCCAGCATGTCAGGTTCGTACGCTACGATTTTTCACAGATTGCTGAAAACGCGTTTTTCGGGGTTCCCAACTCCCCATTTGTCTCATGAAAACGCGACGTGGCAGGCAAATTCTGAATTAGGCAGCATCGTTTTCAGCGGCCAAAGATCTACGGGAAACAACTCTCCTTTCTCAGGAAACTTTCGGGACGTCGACCAGCGTTATTCTCGCTACTCTATTATCGAGTCTTCGTGTTATTTCGTTTCTTCGGAGCGCTCCACCACGCTTCTGAGGCGCGCTATCAGCTCACAATTGTACATCGTCGCGGCGGGTGATTCGCGCATCCCCAGGATAAAACGCGATAACGCGTCCATCTATTTGTCGCAGCGTTCCGAGTACGTCGACACGACGTACTAATCGCAAAAATCAAGGATATCGACGGCCAGATGCGCGCGTTAGTCTCGGTCTACAATAGATTTGGCTTCAAGCTCTAAGCCTCGAGAAATTGACCAATCACAGTCGAATTATAAGAGAAGAACCAATTGTGATCGACCACTTTCTTAAATTTTACGCTTTAAAATCTCATTGTAGGCCTAGCCTTAAATTCATTATACAATCGCTCTCGAACCGTATATCCGCGACGCTCAGAGCAGCGGAAATGACGACGGAGGAGGTGGAGGAGGGCGAGCAGCAGCGACCAGCGGCGAAAATTTCGGCCGGTCGCGCGTTTCCGCGCTGATTTCTCGGCGGACGCTGCGCGGCGGAACGCGAGCGAGCCGAGAATCAGACGGAGAGAGTTCGAGAGGCCGGGGAGGAGCGCGAGATATCTAGTTGCAGGTCGTTCACATCGCGAGGGGACGAACAGTAAAAATAGAATGAGAGCGCCAGGAGCGCGTGCTCTCACGCGCCGACGACGTTACGCGCGACGTCTCGCACGGCGTCGCTTCCTCCTCCGCCGCGCCTATCCTCCACTCTTCCTCCTCCTCCTTCGTCCTCTCGTCGTCCCGTTGTTCATACGTATTTGTCGTGAGGCAGAACGTGTCAGTCCTTCGCCGCGCGCTAAATTTCAAGTGCGATCTCGTGTATGTACGAAATCGCGATTTTTCGATTTCCGTCCCTCTCCTCCTCCACCGCTCATCCGCTCGTTTAAAGGCGGCCGGGCAGAGATTGAATTTCGGCGGAGGCGAATCGATCGCCGCTAACCGTGCGGCAGAGGACAATGAACCACGCTGCACCGCAACGCACACAGCGACCGACCAGCCAATCAGCCGGCGAAACCAACAAACGTACCTGCGTGTAACACCAATTCTCAGCCACGGGGGTGTTCACTTCTGGCGGTGGTGGGCTCGGGACGCGGCTCACTGCCATACTACTGCTGCTGTGCAAATTCGAGCTGACCCGCGACGTTTGAGGCGCACAGTCGCTCACCGCAAGTCTGCAAAAGAAAGAGAGAGAGATTTTAACGCATTCCGGTTAATTCGGGCGAATCCGGCGACACCGTAATATCCCATTACGTGGACACACACAAATGTACGTTGACGAATTACTTGACCGTTGTGCAATTTTATCATCTATGTAGTTTTTATTATACATTTTTATAAAGTCTCTCATGAAAACAATATCATTTAAAGAATTATCTACATAAGTAGCGTCACTTATCTTTCATTTAGATAAATTAAAAGCAAAATCATCTTCATCTCATTTAAGACGGATTTTTCGGATTTTCATCTTTATCTGGAGAAATCTAAGATCTAGAAATCATTTAAGGCAAACACTGTGTGTGCGTGTGTGTGCACATATATATGCGAGCGAGCAAGAACGCACACACATATGTTCGACCCGGAAAGTCGTTAATTGCGCGTACTCAGGTTTACGTCACGAGGAGGTCGCCGACCTCTTTCTCTATATTTCTAAACGATGGAATATATGGAAGAGTATTTATTGGATTAACGTAATACACGAATAGTGAAGTCTACGTCCTCCGCGGGATAATAAAATCGTGAGACGGCGCCGCCAAGTGATCGAGGTATACCGAATCTCGCAAATTTAGAATTTAATTGCCGGATTTAATCGGTTTGATAATTTCCAGCGGAATGTAAAACGAGAGACTGCTATTTCAAGTGCCACCTGCAGAGACGCTTCTTTACATTCCCTCCGTTGTTATCCGATTTGAAAATTGGATATCCATTAAAGCCCACGGCTAGACCGTTAAGATTAGCACAAAACCAACTGCAAATAGAACCTGAACATGAAAAACCATATCGGATATAAAAAGCCAATATCAATTTGCAATAAATTGTTATAAACGAATTATTAAATGTTGGCTGTAGAACAAAGCTGATTATGCCAATCGACTGTAAGGGAAAAGTCATACAAAAATCAAGTATTACTTTTTCCCGTAGCATCTTCCGTTTTTCCCAAAAATATTTGCACAATTGATTTTTGTAATGTGCTCTTTATATCAGAAATGTTTTCCTACGCTTCTATTTCCAATTATTGTTCCTTTCTAATCTTACTGACTGGCGACTATGACACACGCTTGGTTGATATTACCAAAACTTTTTCTATGTATGTTAATCGCGCTACTAATCTATCTCTCTCTTTTCTAAGAAAGTCTTCTAAGAGTTAAGGTCATCGGTAGTCGATCGATCCGTACAAATTCCATGAGCGAGAAGGCGCGCGCGAGAGGTGGGAGGAAGTCGGAGGAAGAAGAGGAAGAGGGGGAGGAGGAAGAGGAAAAGAAGGAGGAAACAAGAAGCGAGAGAATGAGAGACGCGAGGGGAGTTGCCAAGGATGAAGTAAGAAGGGTACGCAGGACACGCGATGGTGCTCACGTGCGCCAAGTACGGAACTGCTGCTCGGCGAGCCAAGTACGTTAGCCTCGCGCAGGTTCATCGGACGCCATCGTCGTCGTGAAGCCATCGACCAACCGAGAAACAGACGCTGAATCGAGCTCTTCTCCTCGCGGAGCTCGTCGTGTCTGTTGCGCGTGACATACGACGGGATTCGCACGACTCACCACTGCGACATCGCGAATGTCCCCTTAACCCTTTGACACGTTGCTTTCCACGCTGAGGGCGTGTGTAAAGTTTCACCTGCAATGTGCTCTTTATCTTTCTTCTGTAAGAACTTCTGTTTCTTCGGTGCCCCGTAACTCTGCTTCAAATTTACATTTTTTTCCCGTCCTGTGTATATCCTATATTTATGATGACTTGAAAGTTTAATCAATACTAATAACTTTGTATGACCGCGATTTAGCCTTATTTTACATTCTTATAAAATGAATGTTATTTAATATACTTCCAATCATCGTTTAATAATTATTCCTTACAAACCTTATAATATCTTATTCCGTCGAAGTTTCAAGAAAATAGCAAGTAAATCTACATTTACAATGCCTCTAAATAATAACAAATCACAAATCACAATCGATAATACGCTATATTTTGTTAATAACAGCGGTTTTAATTGAGGTCTGAATGACTCCGGGTAATCGTTCGCATAAAAAAAGAAAATAAGGTGACTATTCCGGGGTTAATTGAAAATTCGATCCGGTCGATAGGATCGAATTGTGCGAGGCGTTAACGTCATGATTATTACTGTATCGTTAATATAGTCGCCCCTCCCTCACTCTCGTTCTCTTTTTTCACGCCGACGCACGCGTTACGCGCGCTTTCGATCCGCAAATTTCTCCAGTTTCTTTTGCGAGAGCACACACGCGCGTTACACGCACCAGCTTTGCGGCGGCAGCTTTTCAGCGGATCGCGTTCTCCATTCGGTTGTGCGAAAGTACGTTCGTTCGTTCATACGTTCATACGTTCGTTCGTTCGTTCGGCGCCGTAACTTTCACTTCCACACCATTTCCAACGCGATACTCCCACGTCGCGTTTGCGCTAGATACCGCCGGAGGCATATCGTCGGATCGAGGCACACAGAGGGAGAGTCGTTATTCAGGACAAAAAAGGCGGGCGGGGAAGAGAGACACGTATAAACGATTGTATCGTAACACCGCTCTGTTTTGTGAGAAAGCGAAGGCGTAAGACGATCGCGCCCGCTCGCTAGAAAGTACAAGCGGAACAGCGAGAGACGTTTCCGACGTCGATGAGAGGATGACATCGGGAACGTCGGCTGGAATATGTGAGGCATATTTCAGGAACCCACGCAGGAGCCTGTAAGAAGTTAGCCCCTCACTTTTCGATCTTATTTATTTCGACTGTTGTGCCAGATCGGTGCTGCATCGTATTCGAATGATAAACTTGTAATACGAAAAATGCGCGAGATAAATGGAAAAACGGGGTGGTTTTTTTTTTTACCAGCCCCTACTTTTCGATCTGTGCCATTTTTTACTCTTACTCTATTTTACTTTTGACCGTCAATTTGTAAATATTGCGACCGAGAGAGAAGAGATGCAGCACAATATCGATATTAATCTAAGAGGTCGCGCCGATACTACCTCGAGTCCAAGCGCGAGAGAATGAGAAAAGACCTGAAATTGAAAGAACAGGACGGGGTTTCCATTTGCGTCCAAACTAAGCGGGAGGTAACGATCCAGAACGTTCGATGGGCGCGGATGGACCGATATCGTGCCGTTTCACCGTGAGCGAGCGGGGCTCGATCCGCGGCGTGGGCCGGGCTGCGAGAGTTCAGGGGAAAGTAGAACGGAGCGAGCCCCGTGTGGACTCGCTGGTGAAAACGAGGAAGTTAGGTGAAAACCGTCGACGGTACGGTCGAAATCACGTAATTACAGCGGCTGCGGATCGGCCGAGCGCGGATATACTCTTTTTAAGCCCAAACTATCGCGATCCAATGACGGTTAGATGCGATCGAAAAGTTCCTCGATCTGACTAAGAAAGAAAAAGAGCTTTTTCGAGCCAAATGAAATTGATTTCTCGGCATAGCCTCTCTTCAACTCGTCACGACGTGTTTTCCTTTTCTTATTTACAACCGTGACGATTTTGCGCCTTCCCATCTGATAATGTGCCATTGAACAAACGTGGACACGTGCAATCCTCGTCGTGATATCATCATGATGATACAGCGTTTCCGATGAAAATGTGTTTTTCCACCGTGATGATGCACACGCGACGGCGCACAGTAGGAAATGCTTGAAAACCAGACATTGGAAGGAAAAATGAAAAATTCTAGTTTCGGCATGTTTTCTCATTCCTCGTATTCTAATCTATCTGGAAACAAGAAATCAAACAAATAGGCCAGTAAAAGCCAACGCAGGTATATGCGGTTACGGTATATTCGTCAACAAACTTTAATAAATCGACGTAATAATTTTCAATAAACAAGATTCCATCTCATTCCTGTCTCATTCGATATTATTTCTCTCACCGACAGACTCGCGACGGTCAGTTGAAAATATTCCGTCCTCAGCTCCGAAGCGTTCCACACGAGAAAGGTTAAGGAGAACTCGGAAATAACGACGAGGGGCGAGGGGACTTCAGGGAGTGACACGTCCTCGTTTTTGCGCTTTTTCACGGCGCTGCGCGATCTGCATTTTCCTTGAAACATCGGCGCCATCTCGAGCTCCGCTTCATCTCTCCATACGTCGTGCGAGCGGATTTAGATCGTGTTCTTCATCGCTCCGACATCTTCCTCCTCCGGCTGTCGCCGCACGCTCGCATAATCGAAGCACATATATTTCCATATCTGATTCATCCGGTTGTTTCGTAAGACCGGTAATCGTTTGTTAACTAACGACGCACGCGCGCGTGACTACACATTCGCAGGAAAAAAAGCGTCGGTAGAAAAAGGAAATCTCAGTGTCAAGATCGGAAGGTCGCGAAGGCGACCGAGTGCAACGCAGCGCGAGGCTAAAAATATCGCTTTACGATTATCGCGATTACGCGTGCGCCGTACAGCGTCGGCGCGCGCATCTCGCGCCAACGACGATTCGCGAGTTGAAGCTTGCCACGCATTGCGCTTTTTTTCTTCTCATTGCAGCCTCCGATGGGACCGTGGTACAACCCGGGAATGGTCATCTTATTTTCTTTCACGATCACCCGGGGTTATTCACACCACGATTAAAAACCGCTATTATTAACAAAATATAGCGTACGATCGCGAACGTTACCGATTGCTCTGTGATTTGTTATTATTTAACAACATTGTAAATACAGATTTATTCGCTATTTTCTGGAAAAAATGAAGGGAAAGCGAAGAAATATTTAAGAATCGGAATAAGCACATCAAGTATCGACGGTGTTTCTAATAAATGAAGATATCGATTTGAAAAACGCTGTTCTATTTTCGATGAAATAAAATATTTCAAGCGTTCGGTAAGAATAATTAGTAAAAAGGATCGAAAATAAATTAAATAACATTAATTTTATAAGAATGTAAAACAAAGCTGAATCGTGACCTTTTTACTTTGTTTGCTAAGCTTTATCGAATTAATTTCCTTTAAATAAGAGTGTGAACTATATT